CTAAATTTTCTTTATCATTTTCTTGGGCATCCTTAGGTTACCAAAAGGCCATATCAAGTGCCACTTTTCATTTTTCGTCATTCAAACGTCGTTTTGCCTAATATTTTTCTCTAGGTCCAATCACCCACTCAACACTACCAAATATTTTTCCATTGGTTTTCCAACCTTCCAAATGCCACACAACCCATCTAATTACCATTTAACACATAATACATTATCCAAGTAATTTCAACAACATCATTTCCTTTCTTTTCCCTTAATGGCCGAATTCAACAATGGTGTACTCCAATGAATTTTAATCAATTTTTAACTACTCCACACCTCATACAATCCTATTATATCATCATACAACCATACCACAATCCCATTACACAATCCCAATAATAATCTCAAACACAAAGTCATGACACCATCAAATTTTTTTAAGTTGAAAATCATAATTTTCACCAATAATTTTTATTGCATTTATGGCTCCTACTCATCATTCTAAGACATATTCATGTACAAACATTTTTCATTTGAGCTCTCTAACAACACAAATCAACAAAAGCCCCTTTAGGGTTCATGAAAATAAATCCTCAAATCAATCCATGAGAGGTGTTGAAACTTGCCCACAATTACGTCACAAGACTCCTACTAGAACTCCATAAACAATGGCTTAAGAAATTAACCCCAAAATCACAAAATTCCCAAAAAAAATTTGGCAGTATATGCCTCTTTTCTCACAATAGAGAGGGTTTCAAGAGAAACTAATCGGTGGAACGGTTCAGGTGATGATTTCCATCGAATTTCAAGACAAGAATCTTCCGATTCGGTTAAGGATTGATGAAGTTATGGAGAAAATCAAAAAAACGAAAATGAAAGGGGGACGAGGGTTGTCACGGTTTGTGGAGAGAGAATGGAAGGAGAAGATGATGAATAGGACATGTGCTTAGGTGGCTTAAGTGGTTTAAGTGAGGTGGGCCCCACCGCCACCTCACGCGATTTCAAACTAACTTGAATTTCTCTCTGATTCCACTAAACGCCCATAAATTCACAACGTATTTAGAAACTCTAATTTTTAACATTAACCATTGTCCTTCAATTACCCTTGATCAGATGAATCCGGAGTTTTCCGGTCGTTCGGAGAAAATGTTGTTTTAAGCTGTTGCGCGCGTCGTAGGCACGCTTCCCCAAACTTACTAATCCTCATTAATTTTCATAAGAAATCATATTTCCTAGTCCTATATACCATTTATAACTTGTATTCAAAACCTAGAGCTCAAAACTCAATCGGCACGTTTTAGGTGCAATCGTACCGCGGTATTTTTACCCGGTAAAAACACTATTCACTGAATTTTCTGAAACTTGCCTATCCACTCAATTTTTCGTTCTGAATCCATTTCCAGAATTATTTTTATCATCTGAGACCTTCTACTCAATTTCCTTCCTAGGGTTGTGTGCATGGCTAATTTACCATTTTGCCCTTTCTTTGTATTTAGGCCTAATTTTCAGGATTTTCACTAATCATTTCCTTTAATTCTCATTTAATATAGGCTTTAATGTTTCTAAAGTGAATGTAGATAAGTTATCTACATTTGCTCCCAAAACGACGTCGTTTTGGGTTGAAAAATTAAAACATTATAATGAAAAAGACTATTATAACCCTGAAATAAATTATAATTACAAAAATACCTTGATTTCCGCTTCAAAACGGCGTCGTTTTGGGCTCACTGTAGATAAGTTATCTACATTGACTGTAGAAAAAGCAAACCCTTTAATATGTTAATTTATGATTTAGAAATGTGAGGTGTTATATTAGGTGGTAAGTATTGGGCACTTAAAGGGTTAATTTTGAAGATTCAATTCACATTTCCAGCAATATTTTACAATCAACAAAGTATAACATCGGGAAAATTAATCCAATATTCTCAGGAATATCTTGATCTACCAAACAACTCTTTGGTAACATTCCCAAGAAATTCACTTTTCATGATTTTCGGGTAAAAATTTCTCTCTCTCTACCAAACGCTCCCTTAGTAAATTAGAAAAGGATTTTGAAGGAGTACTATTTTTTTTCTTTTTTTCTTTTTTAAGGATGCCCCACTCAATTGGATTAAACTAATTTCCTTTCGAGACATAAAACACAAAAGTTTTTGCCATTGAGCCTAAATTACTTTGCTTAGGAATCGAACCAAAGAACTTTCAACTTAATTTTAAACTCCAACACTTCGCTTCTTAGGTATAGTCCACCCTTTGGAGTTGGTGTATTATTTCTTTTAAAATAGTCAACATATTGTCATCTTCAAAATACAAGGGTTATGTAGATCCCATTAATTATTAAAGCCCTTCAAGTTAAAGGTATGAACACTTACATGTAATTATTAATTTTTAAAAATAAAATAAACAATGAATTAGTCTTTTATTCTAAGAATTTTTTTTTGGTTTTTATTTATTTTTTATTAATTATTTTTATTGTTCTCTCATTTTTTATAATTTTCCTGGCGGATGCCAGGAATAAGATTAGTTCGATTAACTCTGTTGTTTAGTTTGTCTTTTTTTGGGCCTTAGGCTCTCCTTTTGTAAAAAATAAATAAATTAAATAGTAATATTAATGTTATTAGCAATCAAAGGAGAAAAACTAAAACCACGTTCCATTAAATCTCGACTAACGAGAGTAGAGTGAGATCAACTTTGTATGCAGCCTTACCTTTACATATTTACAAAGAAATCATTTTCTGAATTCGAACCCGCGACCCTTAATCAAAGGAGAAAAAGGAAAGGAAAAAAAAAAGGACCAGAGTCAATTTTCCACGGGAATAGGAAAAAATATGCAACTCAATTACAATTACATCAACATCAACAACACATTCATCCCAAATTAATTGGGGTCGATGGTAGATGAACCCAAATAAAAGATACGAAAATGTTGAAAAAATAAAAAAATAAAAATAAAAATAAAAACAAATAAAATAGTAATATATATATATATATATATATATATATATATATATATATATATATATATATATATATATATAAGAGTAATAAAAGAAGGGGAAAAGAAGAGGGGGAGATGAAGAGGAAAAAGACTAAAAATGGATCATCTAAAACATAGGAATAACAACGGGTCTAACCCTCCACCATGCTTATAGTTTTTCTCCATTCCGTTCTAAGGCACATCGTCCGCCAATCTATATCTCTCTCCATTAAGTCTTGTTTTACTACCTTTCTCCAAGTAAGTTTCGGTCTACCTCTACCTTTCTTTGTGTTGAGCTTTTGGTAACAAACTTTTGTTCTTACTGGAGTATCCAGGGGCCTTCTCATTACGTTCCCAAACCACCTCAATCTATGTTCTCTCATCTTTTCAGCCATCGGTAGTACTCCTACTTTTCGTCGAATATCTTCATTTCTTATCATATCCATCCTCGTATAACTACACATCCACCTTAACATCCTCATCTCCGCTACTTCCATTTTATGCTCATGTTGCCTATGTGCTGGCCAACATTCAGCTCGATATAGCATTGCAGGTCTTACTGTTGTTCTATAGAATTTTCCTTTTAACTTGAGGGAAATTTTGCAGTCACACAAAAATCCAGATGCACTACGTCATTTCATCTACCCTGCTCTGATTCTATGATTTACATCCTCATCAATCTCTCCACATTTTTGCAAAATGGATCCCAGGTATCTAATAACATCTTTCTTAGGCACTTCTTGACCAAATAGATGCACGAGATCTTGGTCTACATCTCTTGCCAGAAAAAACTCACACTTCAAATACTCAGTCTTGCTCCGACTTAACGTGAATCCTTTAGATTCCAACGTGCTTCTCCATAATTCAAGTTTTCTATTAACATCATCTTTGTTCTCATCAATAAGTATAATATCATCTGCAAAAAGCATACACGAATTACAATTACAAAAGAACATAAATATGTAACTGTAATAACCCCGTATATTTAAGTTATTTTATAGTTTTAATTGAGTAGAATACTTACCTAATGTATGAGAATGGATCCTCTCGTGCGTACATGATCATGTCATGTTGAAAAATTCTAACCATACAAAGATGAATAAATGGTGATAAAAGAAAAGAGAAAATATTATAATAAGTAGTTACAAAATTATTACCGTTAATTCACCCTTATATAATTAGGATTCTCCCACATGACATGATCATATTAAATAACAAATGAGAGGATTAATAGGCTAGGTTGTGGAGTAACAAAGGATATCAGAAAATTGCAGGAAATTCCTTTCTCTCTTACATTTTCTCTCGTTTCTTCTATCTTCTTTCTTTCTCTCTACTCTCCTTCAATATTTTATCTGCTTCATCAATTATTCTGCTACAGTAACAGTGACTTGTCAACTATATTCTATTTGGTGCCGTTGCTGTGGTGGTTGGTAACTTGCATAGATCCTAACCATAATTTTCATAACCCTGAGCATACCCATAATACCCAATATCATTTAATGGCAGAGCCAGAAAATTTTGAAAGAGGAAGCAAAATTACAACATGAATTCTTCTTTATAATTTATAACTACTTAAAAAAAAAAAAACATAAATAGCACTCATGATTAAAGGTTTATATGAACTTTCCCGGGAGGCAAAATTGCCAACTATCTATATGAAAAAAAAAGGGAAAAATGTATATCATTTTAAAGGATGTAAAGTTGTGTCATTTTAAGTGAGAGAAAGAGATAGATTAAAGAAGAGAGGGAGTGAACAAAAAAATATAAAAGTGTAGGTCTCACCTCTTTGTGAGAGTGAAATGACATAAGTTGTGTCATTAAAAAGAACAAACACTTTTTCCAAAAAAAATATAGAGATTGTGCTTATAACAAAACCCGTTTGAGCTAGGAGTCCCCCTAACCCCTCGCTCCACCACTGCCATCATTCCACTAGTTTGGATATGACTGAGCCTGCGAAACAAAGCATCCAAAGTTATTGAAAAAAATCGGAGAGACATTGATGCCAAGTCAGCAGAGTTGCAACATTCAATAAAAATAATTACCCGAATGTTTGAAGGACTGTGGCCCCGTGAAAGACGAACATTTTGTCCACCCAATAGCGTTTCATTTAAAATTCGTAGTGCCTCTTCTGCATAACTACTGATGCATGAAAAATCATGGCACAATCAGAGTGCTGACTGGACTAGAAAATGATTTTACGCAAGTTAAAGATCAAATATACAATAGGTTATATTACCTGTCTGCAAGTTGGACAAACCCACGTCAGCTTGCATGCTGGATTCTTCACATGAACTAATTCTCCGTACTGGCTGACAACTTGCCTCAGATGATCATCAGTGACATTAGGATCCAAATTGCTAACAAAAATCTGCAATATAAATTCAAGTAAAAAACAAGTAGGAAAAGAGCAGTTTCTATATTGCAAAGTAATCATTCTCGTTCTGTGTGCCTTGAGGATTCTGATATGAAGCTTCATGTTAAAAATAGAAGTGAAGTAAAAAGATGAATTATGTGAACATGGAAGGGAGCAATTCATGGAAAAGATACCATGAACAAAGCAAAAAAATCAGAGAAAATACATACCAACTAATTTCGTTCGTAACCAAAGGTGCAACTTATTTTTGTGATAAAGAACAAAAAGCTTCTAAATAGGTGAAACTTATAGCATGCAAGTATTTAGGAGCGATCCCAAAAGCAACAGAATGGCCGGTGCCTTACGTTTACATGCATCACAGACCTTCAAATAAGAAAAGATGACACAATATTCAACTATAAAAATGAAGTCATAAGTACAGAATAAATAAACATATCAGTTGACAAGAGCATATATTGATAATAAGATATAGAGCAATTTGAGAAGCAAAAAAATGGTCAGCTCAGTGCCATACATGCACCATATATATTCAGATAAGCAGTCGGACTTCATTTACCAATAGCAATGAAGTCAGTAAAAAACTAGACATGCATTCAGATATATTGGAGTAAATTCAACAGAGATAGTTGTCATACAATGATCATGGCAGAATATTTGGCACAAACTAAGATAAATATACTGGTCATGGTAAGCAGTAAATATCTAATTGAAGCGACATGGTCGGAGTCATGTGTGCAGTAGAATCATAGGGTGAGATGAAAACGCCAAAGTAGAAAAAGAAGTCACCTTGTTGACGCCCGGTAAACCTTGATGTTAATGAATTCCTCCACATGATGGAAAATATTATAAGCACTTTCCAAATAACTAAATCTCGAAACAAAGATCTTGATTAAAATATCAACAAAATCATTAAAACAAAAAATTAAACAATATCCAATATAACTATTTCTTATAACAACGAAGTGGAACAAAAATGAAAATACTCACCATAACGTATTGAAATAATCTTCATGCATAAACTATACTTATATGGAGTTCCAAATTGTGTCCAAGCAAAGAAATATATACTGTATAAAATGTGCTGCTTGATGTCTAATTTCTCACAACAGCTTGAGTGAGGACTCAATCCAGTGAACTGACTCTAATGCTCTACAAACCCATAAACAGAGAATCATCATTATGTAGTAGATTTCCTACTCCCCAATCATTAGTCAATAACTGAGTATTGCTAATTTGATATATTATTTTGCAAATCATCTGAGCTAGTGGGTGAGAAAGGTCCCCCTGGTAGAATTTATGAGCCCTCCCTGCAATATTGATCCAGCTATAGCCAGGAGTTTTAACCAAACCTAAGTCCCTCATTTTTGCTCTAACAGTTGAAATTCTATCAAGCATACCATGAGATTGATAGATGCCACACAAAGCTATGTAGTTGCTAGTGTTATTTGGTTCTAATTGGAAGAGACGATGGGCTGCAATTTCTCCAATTTCAACATTCTTGTGCATCATGCAGCCAGAGAGAAGGGCGCCCCAAATGCTTCCTGCCCCTGATGATTTCATGCTTTTCAATAACTGAAGTGCTTCCACAAGATACCCGCAGCGGCCCAAAAGATCCACCATACAAGCATAGTGCTCAACAGTTGGCTCAAATCCATAATCTGAATGAATTGAGCTGAAAATGTGCTTGCCTTGATCTATCAGACCTGAGTGGCTACAACTGGCTAAGATTGCTGTGAGTGTTACACAGTTCGGTCTAAACCCATCATCTATCATCTTCTTAAACAGCAAAACTGATTCCTCCCCCTTTCCATGTATCCCATAACAAGATATCATACTGGTCCATGTGACCAGATTCATGTGGCGCATGGTCCTGAAAACCCTTTCTGAATCATTCAAGCATCCACACTTGCCATACATATCAATCAATGCATTCCCAATAGGAGCATCTGCATCAAGGGAAAAGCTTTTGACCACATACCCATGCACTTCTTTCCCTTTCAACAAGTTCCCTTCCTTTCCACAAACATTCAAAATGCTAGGAACAGTCATGAAATCCACCCTCATCCCGTTCAAAATCACCATTTCTCTGAAACAATTCATAGCATCCGAATACAAGCCGGCTCTTCCAAACCCAGAAATCATCAAATTCCACACCACGGAATTCCTACAAAGCATATTGGAAAACACACAGCAAGCCTGAAACATAGCCCCAGATTTTACATAAAACTCAAGCACAGAACTAGTCACAACAACATACCCCTCATACCCTAACCTTATCACCCAACCATGACACATGTTACCAATACAAGCATCACCAATGCCAATAGAAGCCTTAAATAATGGGGGCAACGTATAATGATCAGGCCTAAGGCCACACCTCTTAAACTCACCAAAAACCGTTAAGGCATCAGAATACATTGAACTCTGGACATAGGAGGCAATCATTATGTTCCATGAATGCATGTTTCTGTTGAGCATTTTATCGAACACCTTGTGAGCATAAGGGAGAAGGCCCAACTTTGAGTAACCCAATAAGAGATCAGTTTCAAGAGTAACGTTTGGAAGTAAACCTTGCAGGATGCTTTGGGCGTGGCATTGTAAGGTAGCGGAAAGTGCCACGCAACTTCGAAGCAGCAACGACAAGCTTTTCCGAGGCATGGTTCATATCCTTAGTTTACCCGCTTTGCGATTTATTGAAATTTTGGCGAAAACTTAAATGGTAATTAGGGAATTTTAATGACATTATTTTTTGGTGCCACTCTTATTTGGGTTCATGCATTAAAAAGATGGATTTTGTTTTGTTTTTTTGTTATATAAGGTAAATCTTCTTTCCTACTTTCACAAAGAAATGGTGAAACTCATTTTATTTTTTACAAAGAAAATGAAAAAAAAATAGAACACAAGAATCGAGATAAAAGCAGGAGACAAAATTTTTATTATGTGAGATAAAAAAAATAAAATCCTAAAAAGAATAACAAACAAATGCAGTGCATGCTGCCACATTGTGGTTGTGAAATAACTATGTTTTAAATTATCAGATTGGAGGTAGTTTCAAAAAGAAAGAAAAAAAAAGGAAAAAAATGTCAGGAATAAAAAAAAAACATTGGAATTAAGCACTTGTTATTTCAGATGTTCTATGAACATAAATTTTCAATATTTTAATATTCCATAGTGTCCCGAAAATTTCACTCTATCTCAAATTAGTTCATGTAGTATAGAAGTCTCTTTTAAATGTAACAAAGTGCATTCAGCACATAAAAAGCGGTTTGCCTTTTCTGTTGTGCCTTTTCAAGGTTGGTATACGGTATACCCCTCCTTTTGGGTGAGCATTTGTGGCATCAATCACTTGGTTATTGAATAGGTGTGACAATTTGGGTTCGGGTGTTTTACACAAGCGATGTACAAAATAAACTTTAATAAAATCTCAACTATAGCTTTAGTCACAAATAACCTTGGACTGCATAAGTCAACCCCAAAAGCAAGGCATCACATAACATGGAATTACATAATCCTACGAGAGCAAAAGGGCAAAAGGTTCATATGCAATCTCCTATTCATGAAACAGTCCATAACCATGCTATTCAATCATTTTTTTTTCTTCTCCTTGGCTACTGCACTTGAAATAAAACTCCAAAAAAGGGTGAGATGTGAATCCCAAAAAGTAAAAGAAACATCCTACTATTTTTTTTTATTTTGGAATAAGGGAAATCAAAACAACTACCGATTACAAAGCCTTGGCGCAATGATACCTAAGGCATCTCATCGAACCAAATTACTACATCCAACAGAGGATCATCAAAGACATGAATGTACCAATTATCAAAATGGTGGGCATGGGATGCTAACCAGTCAGCTACCACATTTCCTTCTCTAAGGGAGTCTTGGGAGATTTCTTAGTATAAGGGACTATGGTGCATTTAGGCCTAGAGTGTAGAACTTGAGAATTAGGGAGAGTGGGTGTATTCCACGGTGGCTGTCCACTTTCTGAAAATTTGAAAGAGTTGTGGGTGAGGCTCAAGTTATCCCCTAAGACCCATTCCTTTTCAATTGGGTTGCATTCACTACATGTCTAAAGCTCAGATACCCGGGCACATTGTTTTTCAAAAAAAAATGCGTGTCGGACACATGTCCGACACGGACACGCTCCGACACGTTCGGACACGCGTCCAACACGCAGTCAATATTTTAGGACACGTGCTCAATTCTCTGACATGCTCCGACACATTTTTTTGACACGCAGTCAACTTTTTCAGACACATGGTCAACGTTCGGACACGCTCCGACACGTTTTTTTTTAGTCTTAATTTTATTTTATTAACTAAAAAAAATCATTTATAAATCAATTTTATTCTCTTATGAAATTTGACATGAAAAATTAACAAGATACAAAAAATTATTTTTTTCTATTTATGTTATGAATGATTATATGACTTATTATGAACTATTATATGTATTAAATATAAATTATATTATATATATTAAAAATAGGAAAAAGTGTGTGTCATTTTAAAGGATATAAAATTGTGTCATTTTAAGAGAGAGAAAGAGATAGATAAAAGAGGAGAGCGAGTTGACAAAAAAAATAAAGGTGTGGGTCTCATCTCTTTGTGAGAGTGAAAGGATGTAACTTGTGTCATTTAAAAGGATAAACAATTTTTCCTTAAAAATATTATTTAATATCAAAACGTGTCCCAACGTGTCGAAATATGTCATTTTTTAAAATTAGTGTATCGTGTCGTGTCGTGTCTCGTGTACCGTGTCAGTGTCCGTGCATCATAGTCTACATGCACCCCTTGGACTAATCAAGTGGCTGGTGGCCATGTGTTTATAATGTCTAGGGAGAATTTCAGCCCACTAAAATTTTACTCTCATTGTAGTTTATGTGTCAAAATCGAGATGTTATGTAGAAACGAATGGGAATGGTAGAAACATAAATCGTAGAAACAACAAGAAATGTAAAGTTTCTACTACTTAAGGTCAAGATACAAAATTATATATATATATATATATATATATATATATATATATATATATATATATATATATATATATACACATAAGTCACAAATCAAAATTTAACAAATAACTTCATATTTAAAAGATATAAGTCACATAACTATATAAGACATAACTCCAAAAACACAAAGAGTTTAACAACTCCTATAACCAAGTTCCATAACATCAAAAGAATAAAGTTTAACAACTTTTAAATGGAAATACAACGGCTTCGCGTGAGGGTTTTTTTTTTCAAATAGCTAGAACAAAATAATATGCATTTGATTAGGGGAAATGGAAATGGTGTTTTTTTATTTTATTTTAAAAAATAAAAAATAAAACTAGGTCATGGCTTAAAAGTTGACCTGGTTCAATTTTTTGATTTAAGTAAAAATGTAAAAGCTTGTGTTTTTACTGTTTTTATATTTTTACACATAATTTTTACCAATTTTTGCTAAAGAGAGTTTTTACTTGCGTTTTAACACGTATCACCTTAATAAAAACGTAAGTTTTTATGTTTTTAACATTAGTTTATGACAACAACCTGAGTTCCAAAAATCATAAATTTACTTCTAAATCTTCAAAGTTCATAAAGCAGCCCCAAAGCTCCCATATTTTAATTGACTCTTATAAGTGAATCACAAATATTGTGGTGTTATATATAAATACACTCCACATTATCATGACACGAATTTAAAATCCAATTAAAATCTATGACACGAACACCATTCGCTTAATTTTGTTGGTTGACATGACATGAATCACTTGCAAACTCATAATGTTTTACTTATTATACAAGTTGACATGACATGACATAACACATATAACTTGTCAACCCCAAACTATGTTACTTATTATGCAGGTCGACATGATTTGATAAATAAGAATAACTTGTTCACGACACAATACAACTTGAATAACCTGTAAGAAAATTAATGTAGGTCAATTTTGAATTTGCGGATTGAGATGTCACACAACGAATTTTTTCGGTTCAACTTTTGCCAACACAAACAAGATACAAATTTAAAAATGGGTCAACGCAAACACAAATTTTTTGTGCCGTGTCAAAGGTCGTGGTAAAAATCAACGAAGCACGGACACGGCATTTTTTAAGAAAAATGTGTGTCGGACACGGACACGTTCCGACACGCGTCCGGCACGTGGTCAATATTTTAGGACACGTTGACTATCTCGACACGCGACTTTGACCGTATCGGACACGGTCAAAGGGTAGAAACATAAAAATTTTGAAATTTTTATAAAATTAAAATAAACTTAAAAAAAAAAAAAATTGGCAACCCAACTTGACGGTGTTGCCTGCGACTCCGGCGGAGAACATGGCAGAACGCCACCACCTCACCTCCATTTCCATACTCTCTGTAACGCCTGGTGTAAGAACCCGCACCGTTAATTAAGGAAATTAATTAATTAATTATGTTAAATCAGGAAATGATTTCATAATTGACTCTAATAATTATTAGAGAGGCTTTAATAATTATGATAAGTGATTAGGAATGCTGAAAGTCGTTTTTCGGAAGAAAAGTGCAGATACCGGTTCTGCTAGTCGGTATAAACGCGTACCAAAAAGTATTCCGGAAAATTTTAATAAGTGCAAGATAATTCCTAGAATAATATATTTGACTTGTAAAACAAGTTTCAAGTCAAAATAATGAGAACTGGTGCCAGAAACTTATACTGGCTATGAAAAGCGCGTACCGGAAAGGTGCTCCGAAAAATATAATAAAAATATGAAAATTCTTGTAAAATTGAGTAGGTTAAGAATCCTGAGTTTGAGATTAAAATGCTAAGCGTATCAATTAAATTTAATACTGTGTGTTTTATGCTTAAGTGACTATATATAGGCTTGTTAAGGCACAAAACCCTAGGCACTCAGATTTCTTACGTGACTCTCTTGGTGGCTGAGTGTTAGTGCACTGTTTCATTGGCTTCTCCTTCATTTCTTGAGCCAAGTGGTCACCTTTGCTCCATTTCTTCTTCTCTTTTGTTGAGTAAACACTTTGGTTGGGTGTGATGGTCACTTGTGAGTGGGAGAAGAGCTTATGTTCTGAGTTTTGAGGCTGCTTAAGAGGTGGGGAAGGGCTGAGTTGGTGTGTTTCCTTGGGTGAGCTTTTGTTCATGTCTTTGGTAGCTCCAAGAAGCCATTTTGGTTAAGAGGAACCTTGGTAGTGTGCCATTTTCGTTCTCTTGGCAAGTCAGTACCCTAGGAGCTTAAAAGTGAGCTCCAAGAGCATTCTTTCCACTGTTTGTGTTGTTGGTAAGCTCCATCAACCTTTGATCTTGAGTCTAAAGGCTTAAAAATGGAACATTGATGCATGTAAAGGGCTTAAGATGATAACCTAACGTTGGGTAATGTCAAACACACCTAGAAATGCATGTTTAAGTGTCTTTATTCGGTAAAAACCCAACCTTAGAAGGATATCTTCACGAAATGCAGAAACTGCATTCTGTCGTGAAATATCCGGATATCTGATCGTGAAATATCTGGATATTGGATATCAGGATATAGGGATCTGGATATCCGGATATAGATATCCGGATATGGGGATCTGGATATTCGGATATAGATATCCGGATATGGGGATCTGGATATCCGGATATTGATATCCGGATATGTACAGTGAGATATCCGGATATGGCCCCGA